GAGTCTTCTCTTGTGTTGTTAGAAGAGGGTGTTTGCTATGACCAGTGCGTTCTCTTGGCAAAACTCTATTAGCCTTTGCCCTGCTTCATTCTGTACTCCAAGGCCAAATTTGCCTGTTACTCCAGGTGTTTCTTGACTTCCTACTTTTGCATTCCAGTCCCCTATACTGAAAAGGACATCTTTTTTGGGTGTTAGTTCTAGAAGGTCTTGTAGATCTTCATAGAACCGTTCAACTTCAGCTTCTTCAGCATTACTAGTTGGGGCATAGACTTGGATTACTGTGATATTGAATGGTTTGCCTCGGAAACGAACAGAGATCATTCTGTCGTTTTTGAGATTGCATCCAAATACTGCATTTCAGACTCTTTTGTTGACCATGATGGCTACTCCATTTCTTCTAAGGGATTCCTGACCACAGTAATAGATATAAGGTCATCTGAGTTAAATTCACCCATTCCAGTCCATTTTAGTTCACTGATTCCTAGAATGTCGACATTCACTCTTGCCATCTCATATTTGACCACTTCCAATTTGCCTTGATTTATGGACCTAACATTCCAGATTTCTATGCAATATTGCTCTTTACAGCATTGGATCTTGCTTCTATCACCAGTCACATCCATAACTGGGTATTGTTTTTGCCTTGGCTCATCCTTTCATTCTTTCTGGAGTTATTTCTCCATTGATCTCCATTAGCATATTGGGCCCCTCTGACCTGGGGAGTTCCTCTTTCAGTATCCTATCACTTTGCCTTCTCATACTGTTCACGGGGTTCTCAAGGCAAGAATACTGAAGTGGTTTGCCATTCCCTTCTCCAGTGGACCACATTCTTCAGACCTCTCCACCATGACCCGACCGTCTTGGGTGGCCTCACATGGCATGGCTCAGTTTCATTGAGTTAGACACGACTGTGGTCTGTGTGATCAGATTGGCTAGTTTTCTGTGATTATGGTTTTAGTGTGTCTGCCCTCTGATGCCCTCTGGCAACACCTACCATCTTACTTGGGTTTCTCTCATCTTGAACGTGGGGTATCTCTTCACAGCTGCTCCAGCAAAGCACAGCCGCTGCTCCTTACCTTGGAGGAGGGGTATCTTCTCACGGCCGCCCTTCCTGACCTTGAACGTGGAGTAGTTCCTCTCAGCCCTCCTGCGCCCCGCAGCAGCCGCTCCTTGGAGGTGGGGTTGCTCCTCACATGCTAGTAAAGTAATGCTCAAATTTCTACAAGCCAGGCTTCAACAGTACATGAACCATGACTTCCAGATGTTCAAGTTGGATTTAGAAAAGGCAGAGGAACCAGAGATCAAATTGCCCACATCTGTTGGATTGGATCATCAAAAAAGCAAGAAAGCTCCAGAAAAACATCTACTTCTGCTTTATTGACTAGGCCAAAGCCTTTGACAGTGTGGATCACAGCAAACTGGAAAATTCTTAAAGAGATGGGAATATCAGACCATCTGATCATTTGACCTTTCTCAAGATTTCTTGAAAAATCTGTATGCAGGTTAGGAAGCAACAGTTAGAATGGGACATGGAGCAACAGACTGGTTCCAAATAGGGAAAGAAGTAAGTCAAGGCTGTATATTGTCACCCTGCTTATTTAACTTATAATACATCATGTATTATACATGAGTACATCATGAGAAACACTGAACTGGATGAAGCATAAGCTGGAATCAAGATTGCTGGGAGAAATATATCCTAAAGGAAATCAGTCCTGAATATTCATTGGAAGGACTGATGCTGAAGCTGAAGCTCCAATACTTTGGCCACCTGATGAGAAGAACTGACTCATTAGAAAAGACGCTGGTGCTGGGAAAGATTGAAGGCAGGAGGAGAAGGGGATGACAAAAGATGAGATGGTTGGACAGCATCACCAACTCAATGGACTTGAGTTTGAGTATTATCTGGGAGTTGGCAATGGACAGGGAGGCTTGTCGTGCTGCAGTCCATGGGGTCGCAAAGAGTCAGACATGACTGAGCTACTGAACTGAAATGAACTGAATAAAATTAAATGTATGATTTATTTAGCCCCTCAGGAATACATCCTTTTATCCTCTCATGCTAACATTTCTGTTTTGAATGTATAGAAATGCACCCTACATTGTGTTCATAAACTCAGATATGTACTTGCAGTCTAGGAACATTGACCAAGTCACCCAGTCCTGTTTTAGAAGATTGGTTTTTCTCAATGCAATGTTTTATCTCTGCTGCTATAGGATCAGGGTATTTGACATTTTTTAATTAGCAGTAAATGTGATATTATAATTTCTGATTAATGCATTATGGCATTCAGAAATTAATATGTGAATTGGAAGCAGGTATTTTATCAAAGAGTGGATTTTTATAATCTATGTAAAGGGTTAGATTTTTAACCTGCACGACTTGAATCATGAAAGGTAAGTTTTCTTTTTTCTGGAAAAGTTAAGTGAAGAACATTGCTTTTCTACTAGGAGGTTATTGTTTAAAGCATACCATTTAATAATGGAAAAAACGATTCAAATTTTCCTGATAGAGTGAAAGGATAAATTCTGGATAACTATGTAATGTTAGTATTTATCTCACAAGAGGAGTTTCCCTGAGGTAGCCTGCAATTTAACACAATGCAAGTGTGCCTGACCCTGTGGAGACTGCAGGACTGGGAGGTGATCCAATATTGGTGAAGCTAATCAATACCCAACCTTAGCAAACAGTTAAATATATTCCCAAGAATTTTAAAAAGTGGTCTGAAGTCAGAGAAAAAAAAGTTCCTACCAAGGTCACTAAAGAGAATAATTAAAAACAAGCCTATATTTAAACCGTCATGGCATTGTGCTAGGTGAAATTTTTACCTTTGCTTCCTACAGATCATTAATTCAGATCATCCATAAATGACTTGGACTTAGCATGAACAATGTGACTTCAGTAAAAAGAGACCAAGAAAAGGTAGAATAGGGGAGGGAGGGAAGGTAACAGCACTTCTGATCACGCACGAGGCACATGGTAGACAGTCCACAAATACTTGTGCATGAGTGACTAAATACATGAATAAAAGAATAAATAGTGAGGAGACCAAAAAAAAAAGGAAGGGGTATGGACAGAGAACAGCCATGAGGACTGATGGAAAATGTGTTTTGAAAAGTGATAAGGGAACTTTGACCACCGTACTGTCCACAATGACTCTAGTGGCATTAAGTGGATAACTTTAAAGCATGCGTGAAGGAGCTTTTACATAACTGGGTGAAACCTTAAAAATTAAGAGGTTTTTAAAGCCTCACATAGGAGTAACCACTTGTGAACAGGCCCGCCTTATCCTCAGGCGATTTTGGCAGCATCAAAGAGCCTTCAATTCCCCTGGAGAAAGAGTGCACATAATTATGATATGCACAGTCTTTGAAGTCAGACAGATTTGGCTTCAAAAATAGCTCTATGATTTACCAGCAAATGACTTACTCTTTCAGAACTCAAGGGGGAGACATGTATCAAATGTAATGGTCCATGATATTAACTGGAAACATAGTAGGTATTCAGTAAATGTGTACTTAACATAAGCAATGTCTACACATAAATATTCATTGAAAATAGTACTTCTGTATATATAATGGTAGAACTCTCTCTTGGGCTTCCCAGGTGGTAACGAATCTGCCCTCCAATGCAGCAGATGCAGGAGACGTGGGTTCAATCCCTGGGCAGGCAAGATCCCCAGATGTAGGAAACAGCAACCCACTCCAGTATTCTTGCCTGGAAAAATCCCATGGACAGAGGAGCTTCGTGGGCTAAAGTCCATGGGATTGCAAAGAGTCAGACATGACTGAGTGACTGAATACATTTAATTCATCAGCCTCAAAGTTATCAATACACCTTAAAGAAATAATGACTAATGTGCTAAAGTAACTTAATTAATATAATGCTAATTATTTATTACTAAAAGTACTGAAATCTTAATTGTATAAAAATAAGAGATTGATTAAATAATTATGAAATGAGTAGAAAAAGTTCCAAGTAGCCATTAGAATGATATAATCCAAGACTATTTCTTGATGTAGAAATACTTCCTTATATCTGTTGTTGCTGTTGTTCAGTCACTATGTTTTGTCTGACTCTGCATCCCCATAGACTAAAGCATGCCAGGCTCCTCTGTACTCCACTATCTCCCAGAATTTCTGCAAATTAATATCCATTGAGCTGGTGATGCTATCTAACCATCTCATCCTCTGTTGTCCCCTTCCCCTTTTGCTTTCAATCTTTCCCAGCATCAGAGTCTTTTTCAGTGAGTCAATTCTTTGCATCAACTGGCTGAATATTGGAGCTTCAGTTTCAATGAATATTCAGGGTTAATTCCTTTAGGATTGACTGGTTTGATCTCCCTGCAGTCCAGGGGACTCTCAGGAGTCTTCTCCAACAGCACAGTTCAAAAGCACTGGTTCTTCAGTGCTCAGCTTTATTTATGGTCCAACTCGCACATTTGTACACAACTACTGGAAAGACCATAGCTTTGACTACATAGACCTTTGCCAGCAAAGATGTCCATGCTGTCTAGATTTGTCATAGCTTTCCTTCCAAGGAGCAAGCGTCTTTTAATTTCATGGCTACAGTCACCATCTGCAGTGTTTTGTAGCCCAAGAAGATAAAATTTGTCACTGATTCCACTTTTCCCCTGTCTATTTGTCATGAAGTGATGGGATCAGATGCCATGATCTTAGTTTTTAATGTTGAGTTTCAAACCAGCTTTTTCACTCTCCTCTTTCACCATCATCAAGAGTTCTTCTTCAGAGCCCAAGCGGAGGCGGCGCGGAGCGTTTTGGCTCTCAACGCATCGGGAACCGGTGTGTAGTGCGAGGCTGCGGCGGAGCCTCTACACTGAAGGCTCGAGAGGTTAGCAGCTTCGATTGAAGCACATCGAGCGGTGACAGCAGTGGAAGTCATGAGCGACAGCGGCGAGCAGAACTACGGCGAGCGGGTTAATGTTGAAGAAGGAAAATGCGGAAGTCGTCATTTGACAAGTTTTATAAATGAGTATTTGAAGCTCAGGAATAAGTGAAGCTGAAATTTGAAAAAATAAAAGAAAGAATGCATGCTAATTATCAGACCAGAAGTCCCACTTGTAGAATATTGAGCAATTTGTGTGAAGTGGGGAAGATGAAAGAAGTCAGAATTTGAAACGGAAGAATGAAGAAAAGAAATAAAAATGAAGTTAAGATAAGAAGTAATCTGGAATCAGAAAGCACTACGCTAAGTAATTACTAGTCTGTTTATGTGTCCCTGTATATTTTGCTAAACATGCATGCATTATTTGTTTAATAGAAGAAATATATACAGGGTAAAGAAGTGCCTTCCAGGGGAAACGTTTAAATTAGGAATCCCGTTCTGCTTCCAGAAGTGGAAGTGCTCATGGATCTGGGAAATCTACAAGGCATACCCCTGCAAGGTCTCGCTCCAAGGAAGATTCCAGGCATTCTAGATCAAAGTCCAGGTCCAGATCTGAATCTAGGTCTAGATCCAGAAGAAGTTCTCGGAGGCATTATACAAGGTCACGATCTCAGTCCCGGTCCCATAGACGATCTCGTAGCAGATCTTACAGCAGAGATTATCGAAGACGGCATAGCCACAGTCATTCTCCCATGTCTACTCGCCGGCGTCATGTTGGGAATCGGGCAAATCCTGATCCCAACTGTTGTCTTGGAGTATTTGGATTGAGCTTGTACACTACAGAAAGAGATCTAAGAGAAGTGTTCTCTAAGTATGGTCCAACTGCTGATGTATCTATTGTATATGACCAGCAATCTAGACGTTCAAGAGGATTTGCCTTTGTATACTTTGAAAATGTAGATGATGCCAAGGAAGCAAAAGAGCGTGCCAATGGAATGGAGCTTGATGGACGTAGGATCAGAGTTGACTTCTCCATAAGGAAAAGACCACATACCCCAACACCAGGAATTTACATGGGGAGACCTACCTATGGCAGCTCACGCCGTCGAGATTACTATGACAGAGGATATGATCGAGGCTATGATGATCGGGACTATTACAGTAGATCCTACAGAGGTGGAGGTGGAGGAGGAGGAGGTTGGAGAGCTGCTCAAGACAGGGATCAGATATACAGAAGACGGTCACCTTCTCCCTACTCTAGTCGTGGAGGATACAGATCACGTTCCAGATCTCGATCACACTCACCTCGTCGCTATTAAAGCATGAAGTTGAAGACTTTCTGAAACCTGCCTTAGAGTTGGGATATTGTTTGTGGACAATATTTTTTATTGTCTCCTGTTTAAAAAGTGAACAGTGCCTAGTGAAGTTAGGTGACTTTTACACCTTTTATGATGACTACTTTTGGTGGAGTTGAAATGCTGTTTTCATTCTGCATTTGTGTAGTTCGGTGCTTTGTTCAAAGTTAAGTGTTTTCAGAAAAGTATGTTTTGCATGTATTTTTTTACAGTCTAAAATTTTGACTGCTGAGAAGTTTCTATTGTACAGAACTTCATTTAAATGGTTTTTCTACTGAATCCAGGGTATTCTGAAGATAGAAGTCTGTGTGTAAAATGCTACCAAATGGCAAAAAGCAACAATAAAGTTTGGTTTTTACTTTAAAAAAAAAAAAAAAAAAGAGTTCTTCTTCAGTTTCTGCCATTAGAGTGGTATCATCTGTAACATACTGTTATGCCCACAAATATATATGCATGCAATCATATGTTTAATATGCACATATAAAATACATATATTTTAATGATCATGTTCTCATAAACATTTTTATATAACTCTCTACCCATGCATATAGCACAGCAGAATGAATGTATGTGAACATTAAAGATGAGCTATTCTTTAGTTTTTCATCTGTATTTTGTACATTGTGATTTCTGATTTCTACATTTTGAACATAGATTAATTTTATGAAATTAAAATTTTACTTATGACAGTACAATTATTCAACACTGAGGAAATGGTGAAATTGTGACACTATGTGATCTATTAGACAGCAACCACAAAGTTCAGGGAAAAGCAGGAAACTAAATGTATTGAGGGACTTCCCAGGTGGTCCATTGGTTAGGTCTCTGCACTTTCACTGCAGAGGGCCCAAGTTCTATCCCTGGTAAGGGAACTAAGATCCTGCAAGCCAGGCAAAATAAATATATAAAATTGTAAAAATGCATCTAGTAATATGTGATTAAATCTTGCAACACAGAAAAAAATAAAAATTAAAGTCATAGCTTGCACAATAAGGAAAATGTGGTTATAAAGTCTATCCATATTTACTATCATTATTGCATGCATATTATATTTCTTAGGTATAAAAATGGCTTGCATTTATGTAGTAGAATGCCCTTGTTCTTAGGCAATATGTGCAAAAGAATTTAAGGGAAAAGTATCATGAAGTCTCTAACTTATTTTTAAATGACTCAGAATAAAAAGTATATGTTGATGGGAAAAAAAGAAAGCAAATGTCACAGAAGGTGAAAAAAAGTGAACATAGGTGAAGGGTACATGGGTGATGACTCTACTATTATTGCTTGAAATAATAGGTTTGAAATATTTTCAAAGTAAACTGCTGGTGGGGAGAAGGAAATGAATAGCAATACTAAAGGCTGCAATGAGGAGCTGCAATTACAGAGGAAGAGATACAGCAGATAATTAGCCGTTAAAGGCAGTCTGGGTGGAGACATCTCTTTAACATTCATTGAGCACCCACTACACGCTCAGTAAATATATAACTGCTGTGGAAAAATAGTCATGAGAAAGTTTTAGTGACAAGAGGAAAGGTTTAGGCAGCACATAAAACAATTTACAGTATCATCACAGCTCAAAAACCAAAACCATATATATACAGAAAATGACTATTAGGCAATATACAGAGCTGTTAAGAGGGATTTTCTTGGGAGTTAAATGCATGGTTGATTTTCATTTATTTCTGTTTATATTCCAAAGTTTTGACAACGACTAAGTATTACTTTTCCAATGAGAAAAACAGCTCTGAAATCAAATGCAGCATGCCATGTGGAATCTTTATACTTCTGATTTACACCTATTACATTTTATTGAAGCAGGATGGTGATAAACTATTTTGCACTCTCTAGCCTATGAGAGACTAATAGCCATAGCCAAGATGACACATTTCCAAGAACATACCCCAACTTGTGAAAGTTCATGTATGGTTAAAATTTTTTTTTTTTAAATCCAGCAGGTTCTGTGAGCAGGGCTGTTATAAAGAGATGTCCAGCACTTAGATATTAGAATAAACTCTGAAAATTAAATAAATTGCATAAATATCTATTGGAAATAAGCAACTCTCATCACTCACCCTTAGCTAACTGGAGCCATTAATGGATTCAAAGAAAGAATATCTGTATGTGACAGAGGCCACTTTGCAAAAACAGCTGTGAAGGGTAGGTTAGCAGATTTTTCTTAACAGTTCAGTAAAAGCTTTCTGATCATCAAGTTTTCTATCATAACTGGAACCATGAGTCTGGAATCAATCACAACGATTATTTTTATCTTGATATCCTTGTTGATAGAATAACTTTTCCTGTGTTGTCAGGGATAAAGTATGGATTACAGCTCACAAATAAAAGGTGTCCAGTACTGAAATGAGTGCAAAGTTTTCAGGTATTTACTTGGAAAATTCTATTATTTTCTATTTTATGGATCAGAATTTCTGATTCAAGATGAAATTTCTTGTTTAAATAAAGGCAAGTGAAATTCCATTATATCATCAGATTTTAAAGTTGTATCAACATGTATTTTAGTCTGTTTGGGTTGCTATACAAAATAGCATACATCTGGTAGTTTATGAACAACAAAACTTTATTTCCCACAGTGCTGGATGTCAGAAGTTCAAAATCAAGGTGTCAACAGGGTCACAGTTTCTGGTGAGAGTCCTTGTCCAAGTCTATAACTGGCAATTTCTGTGTCCTCACATGGTGGAAAAGCTAGGTATCTCTCTGGATACTCTTTTATAAAGTACCTTCCAAAGTCCCCACTTCCTAATACCATCATCTTTGGCAGTTAAGATTTCAACATATTAATTTGAGGGGGACATAAACATTCAGTATATAGTAACATAATAAAGGAAATTGAACTGCATTTCTTTTTGGAAATGGACTGCCGCTATTATCCACAAACAATCCCATCAATTAGCACATCTAAAATATAGCTCCATATTTGCTAGTAATATAGTTTTGAGTCACGTGATGTTATCTCTCCAGATTCCAAGATAATTAAAACTTATTGTCCATAACTTGTATCAATATATGGCACGTTATTGCTAATCAATATGAATCTCAGTAAGTTTACATTTTAGTATGCCAAACAGTGCCAAAATTTATCAATATTATCCAAAGTTATAGTGCATGAGGGCTTTCCAGGGGGCGCTAGTGGTAAAGAACCCGCCTACCAATGCAGGAGATGTTAACAGATGGGAGTTCAATCTCTGGATCGGGAAAATCCCCTGTAGGAGGGCTTGGCAACCTACCCCAGCATTCTTGCCTGGAGAATCCCATGGACAGAGGAGCCCGGTGAGCCTCAGTCCAGGGTCACCAGTAGTCATACATGACTGAAGCGACTTAACATGCGTAGTGCAGGAATCAAACAACCACCGATACCAAGCTAAATGCAAGGAAAGCAAATATTAAAATTAAAACAGTAAATTCACACTCTATTATTTGATTATTATCACTCAGACAATCCACATCTAGTGTCATTATTTCCCTCTGCAGAATTCCCATGAAACTAGTAAAGGTTGATTAATTAATTTGGGCATTTTTGTTTCACTTTGGCCAATTGACCTCATATTTACCTATCATAATGAGTTGATATTCTGAATAAACATGGAGTACATCCAAAGGGCCTTAAGATATACTTTAATATATTTATTGGTATAAAATGGATGAGAATCTGTTATCTAAAAAGTCACCATGTTAACTATAGCATTCATTATTAATGAACTGCCTTCTGTAAACATCAAATTTTTAATTTGATCCAAAATTCCAACTCCTGTAATTTATTCTGCAAGTAATCAGGAAAATGCACAAAATGTACACACAGAATATTATTCCAGCATTGTTGGCAATGTTTTTAAAAAATGTAAACAATATTGACATACAAATTGACAAGCAATTTTGATACTCCATAAAGTTTGTTTATATTTATATTTATTGACATAAACAGAGGCCCATTAGAAGTTTTATGATACATGTAGAATATTATTATAGTATGGTCCTATCTGAGGTATTTATGTGTCCATAATATTTGATAGATTGAAAATAATATTGTAAGACATATCCCAACTGTTAGCAGTAATCATAGAGACTGTAGGGAGATGGTACTTTGTATTTTGTATCTCTCTTTCACAATATTTGCATTTTAAACAAAACTCAAATTATTTTATAACTATAAAAAAGTAAAATTCCAGCAACACAACCTACCCCAGTCTATACTGATAGATATGTGACATGTGTATGTCAGTGACCTAAGCAGTCCCGTACTTCATTTCCAATCCCATCTTCATTTAGCTTGTTTCTACTCACCTTCTTTGGACTCAGTCCAAACATTACTTCCCTAGGAAAACCATTCTTAACACTTCTAAGCAGATTAGGCTTTCCTGTTATAAACATGTTGCACTTATATTTTGTAATAAAATTTACAACTACAGTTTCTTGTTCCTATACATTTTCCTTGCTAGATTATACTATTCATTATGCATAGACTGTGTCTGAATTGATTGCTGCTATATTCAAAATACCTAGCCTACTGCCAGGCTCATGGGAGGACTTAGGTGCTTATTTGTCATACATATCAATGAATGAATTTTAAAATGTGATGCATTATCTGAGAAAGGATAACTTTCTTGATTTCTAAGTTTGTTTACATAAAGTATTTTAAAAATTACACATTTTAGTTCATATTCAATAACCTAATTTTAAGAATTGTCTGTATAAGAATTCTGTTATACAGAATGTCCCTAAAATACTAAGACTATAAACATAAACATAGCACTGGATTTTGTTTGACTTAATGAAATTATTAGACCACTGAATCAACAGTTATTATTAATCCTATTTGTGGGTTGGAAAGCTGAGAGGTTCTGTCCCTTGCCCTAGAAATCTTTTTAAGCTGTGGCTATTTACAGGAAACACAGAGACTTGGATCATTTGGTTATTACATGGTATGGGAATTGGAGTTGAATTGATCTATGTTTTGTGTTCCAGCTTTGTCAGTTACCAGCTGTACATCTTAAGGAGGCAGCTAACCTCTTTTGGGTCAATTTCAGTCACAACCTAGTCACAATCAATACTGATGATGTGTATCATTATGTAATGATCAAATCTCTTTGCTTTATTTGTAATTAAATCTCCTCATTTCTATTTTATGCAGTTGCTTGGAAGCTAGTGGTGGAGATGAGAGGCATGGTGCTTCTGCTATCTACTCACTCTTTGTTCACTTCCTCATTACCTGTCACTTTGATCAAAGCTGGGATAGGGAGAAGAGGTAAAGAGGATATGTGAATTCTTATCTGGCTGGTTGGGTTCATGCTGGTTGGGTCTTGGCAGAGTTGGTATAGCCAAGTAGATGCCTAGAAGATTAAAGTTGGGAGTCTTTGGGAGCATT